TGACCGCTGCGGCTGGGCTCGGCTCGGCTCGGCGGCTCGGAGATGGGGCCCAGAGGGGTGGGCTCGGCAGCAAGGCATGGGAGCCTGCTGTACCCTCGTGATTCTGTCTTTGGCGTCGGCTCGCGTCGGTTTAGCGTCTGGGAGTCGATGGGATAGCGCCGATTTCGCGTCGTTTGGCGCCAATTGGTGTCGATTTAGCGTCGATTGGCGTCGGCTCGCAAGAGCCGACAAGATGGTATGGGAGGCTCCCATGAGTTGCCACCGAAGATGGGGCCCTAACCTCAGGGGCAGCGATTGGGGGGGATAGGCTCAGGGGGGGATGCATCGGCCCCCCATCGCCCATTCATCGCCGATACGGGCCCGATGGCCCACGCCGCCCAGGATCGCGCGGTTTCGCTGTCGGGGGCCTGTCGCCGATCTATCGGCGATGTCTCGCCGATTCCAGGTCGATGTTTCCACCCCCTGAGCTCGTCCCACCCCATCGCTGCCCTCATAAACCGCACTCGCGGACGACGACGACGACGACGACGACGACGACGACGACGACGACGACGACGACGACGACGACGACGACGACGACGACGACGACGACGACGACGACGACGACGACGACGACGACGACGACGACGACGACGACGCGACGACGACGACGACGACGACGACGACGACGACGACGACGACGACGACGACGACGACGACGACGACGACGACGACGACGACGACGACGACGACGACGACGACGACGACGACGACGACGACGACGACGACGACCCGCGTTCGCGGACGACGACAACGACGACTGCGATGGTGATGACGAGGCTCGCGCTCGCGCGCGCGGGGCCCGCCTGCGGGCGTGAGCCGCCACGCACACGGGGCGCAGCCGACCAGAGAGCGTGTCAACTTGCTGATCTGTTGACGTCGGAAGCCCAATGACCCATGGAACCCAGACATGCTCGCGCCGTGAAGAAAATCATGACCGGAGGTTTTTGGCCGTTTTCGGCCTCCGGGGGCCCTGGCCGGGCCCAGGGACCGTCAAAGAACGACTCGGGATAAGCCGGCCCTGGCCAAAGGTAGGGATTTCTGGGGACCCCACATTGAAAAAAGCCAGACGTTCCTCACTGTCTGAGGCCGCCCGTTCTTCCAGATATCCAGTGTCTTCATTGCGAAGGCCTGACGGCCGGTGCCGCCGACCCTGAAGAGGACCACGACGTCGGCGACGAAGTGGGCGAAAACGGAGGCCGTGGAAGATGAGGAGGAGGAGGAGGAGGAGGAGGAGGAGGAGGAGGAGGGAGGAGGAGGAGGAGTCGGAGGGGAGGAGGAGGCGGGGGAGGGGAGTAGGAGGAGGAGGAGGCGAGGAGGAGGGGGAGAGGAGGGAGGAGGAGGAGGAGGAGGACGAGGAGGGAGGAGGAGGAGGAGAAGGAGGAGGAGGAGGACGAGGAGAAGGAGGACAAGGAGGAGAAGAAGGAGGAGGAGTTTTTTTTCAATGCGGTGTCTCCAGCTCTTCATCCCAAGCCGTTCCTCGACGGCCCCGTCCCCGGCGTGGGCCCCCGGGGGCCGAGGACGGCCCGAGGCTCCCCGCCGTGACCCCTCCACGACGCGAGCGCGCCTGGGCCAGGGCCCCATTCGGCCACTCGCAGAGGGCCTCACTCGGACCGAGGCATACGGTATGAGGTCGAGGTCGAGGTCGGCTCGGGGAGGGTACCCGTAGATGTTCTCCTCGTGTCTGTGGGATGTCCTTGCGCACCCTGGGGAGGGTACCCGTAGGTGTTCTGTCTGTTCTGGCTGACGGAGGGTCTCACGTTCTTGAAGGATGTTCTTCTGGCCCGGGTCCGGCTGTATGGACCAGCCACGCGCAGAGGGGCGGCGGGGGTAGGGGGGAGGGCTTCTTCGAAGCACCCTGCTTCTTAGACGGCGCGGGCCTCGTCTGCAGACGCAGGACCGGCGCCTCCCAAGCAGCGGCCTCCGTCTGGGAAGCCTTCGGCCCTCCCCCTGCCCCCCCCGCCCCCTGTGCGCGCCGCCGACTCGTCCGCCAGAGCCCCCTCTTTGAGCCGCCGATCGGCCGCGTCCCGCGGCGCTCCCGAGGGCCCCGCCGGCGGCGGCGGCCCCCTCGGCCGCGCGCGGCCTCCGGGGAGAGAGAGGCGCGCGTTCCGCGGGCCTCCCGCCTCGCGCGGCGCGCGCGGGGGCCGCCCTCGAGCCCTCGGGCCGTGGCGGAGCGCACGAGGACGGGGCCCTGCGGCTGCCAGCCCAGAGCCCCGTCGCGCCACGAGCGCAGTCACGGCGGGAAGCTTCTCGCTGTTTTTTTGGCCTCTGGGGGCACCCTGCGGGCCTCGGGACCGTAGTCAGGGCCGCAGACCGGTGCCAGGGAATGGATCGAGACCTCTGGGGGTCGGCGATGTGACGAAGTCATGACGTCGGGGGTCCTTTCGGCTGCCAGCGAGGGTCTTTCGCCAATGGTGTTCTGCCCTCTTTTTTCCCCCTCTCCACTCCCCATTCGCCCCTCTTTCTCGCGCCCCCCTGTTTCCTCCGCGCCCCTCATCCCTTCGCCAGGGGCCCATGTGGGCGGGGTCAGGGGGCCGCTGTGCAGGGTCCCCCCAGGCGAGACCGCTGGTTTGGGATCGCAATGCGGGCCAGCATTCCACAAGATCCTGCCAGAAATGCGTGGGCAGGGCGGTGCTATTGGGTGCGATCGGGTGGTTCGTTTCCTGTCGTGCGTCGGGGTCATGTCGACGTGAGTTCACAACAAAACTTTCTCAAAGGGATTGTTGGGATCCTGTTCGTTACATGTGGCGCAGTGGCAGGCGATGTTCGAAACGAGTTTTTGGGCGCAATAATTCTTGCGCGACGCGTGCACGCGCAATGTTTCTTGCGTGCTTCCGTGAATACGTAGATTGTGTGTGTGTGTGTGTGTTGTAGTGCTGGTGCCGCGGCGATCTGCCCCCGTTAACTTCGAAGGCACAAGTTCGGATACTTTTGCATCTTCTGGCCAGCCGACGTCTAATAGTAGAGCTACGTTTGAAATTTGGGAGGCGTGCCCGCGCACCGCTCGACTGGCGTTTCTTCACTTCTGAGGCGCTTTCGTACCATCCCGACGCAGGTCTTCACACGTGCGCACGATTGTTTGTTGCCACTACTGGGAAACAGCAATATCAGATGCAATGGCGTTCGCTGCGCTTAGAGTCGGAGCACTTCGGATTATTGCCTCCGAGCCCCAGGGTTTCCCTTTGGAGTCCGGCTGCGGTCATCCCTTCTTGCGGATCACGTGAATTAGTTTGCCAACGCTTTCGCTCGTATCTCAGAGCAGTGCAACACGTATTCTGCGAGCTTCTCGAGGGTGTTTCTCAGAGTAGACGTGTAAGCGCCGAGTGGAGCTTCTGGCGGCAGCAGCAGCAGCAGCAGCATCAGCAGTTGCGGCGGCAATAGCAGTGGCAGCGAAGGGGAGGTGCTGCCGTTGTCAAAACCGCGTCTCCCAATTGTTCGCTGGCTGTTGATTTCGGCTTGAAGCAGGGTGCCGCACTGATCGCCATTTCTTTTGACGACGGCTGCAGGATTGACCCTTTTTGAGAGCCACGCTTTGCCAATTCTCTTGCCTGAATATTTGCTGGTTGCACGTTCATTGTGCATCGCTTGCTGTCTGGGGCGGCGGATTATTCCCAGGGTGGGTCAACGGGAGGAACATACGTAACCCTCTTCCCTCCTGCCTCTCGTATCATCTCAACCGTTCGGCCCGCTGCCCAAGCCACCTCTGGAGTTTTCGAGCCGAGCAAGGTGTTCAAAGGAGTAGCTGTGATCCTCGTGCCCGATGAAGAGGTCAGTGCGGGGCGCTCCACCTCTTCATCGGATGGATGCTGTCGTCAGCCTCCTCTACGCATCCTGGCAGAGAGAGAGAGAGGGAGAGAGAAAGAGAGAGAGAGGGAGATAGAGCAACACACATAAGCATAGACACATAACATAACGAAGCAGCAGGATGGGAGGGGAGGTGAGGGGGAAGTCAGCGAGACGGGGAAAGGGAGGGGAAGGTGTGCCAGGAACACCTGATCGAGAGAGAGAGAGAGTGAGAGAGAGGGAGGGAGAGAGAGAGAGAGAGAGACCGAGAGGACGATCAGAGAAGAGACGATAAGAGAAGAGACGAATAAACAGACAGAGAGAGAGAGAGTTATATACAAATAATCGAACATGCGTCTTTTCTGTGTGAGTGTTCCTGAGGTTCACGCCGCCGTCTGTACATCTGTCCCTACCCCCACAGCTTTGGCGATACGTTTCCGTTTGCAGATCGAGAAACGCGTGGACGTCTTGCCCGACGCCGTTTATGTACGTTTCTATAAGCACGCTAGACCTGCGCGTGGACCCAGAGTCAGTGAGGCAGATGCCTGCCACGGGACAGCTGGACGACGGAAATTGGCGGCGATTGGGGGCAACCACCAGGGCCAGGGAGAGCTTGGGACAGGGCTGGCCACACAGCTTGGTAGCAGCTAATGTCACTCACCGGGGGGGTCGGGGACAGGCGTGGGCAGCGCCAGTCGAGGAGTCGGCGGCAGCGGGGGGTGGGTGCTGAACACCAGGGCCAGGGACGGTCTGGCAACGGCCACAGGCAAATTAGCATGGACGGCAACAGTCGGGGACGGAGTTGGTCGAGCAAAGTGGCGGAAGCGGAGGGCAAAGCTTTAGGGCTGGGGCCAGAGTCGTGGATGGCGCCAGCCAGGGAGATCGGCGGCGGGGAGCGGGCTTGGGGCACTCTTGGGGCCGTCTTGGCGCTCTCGTGTGCTCTTCTCTGGGTTCTGTTTGGCGAGGTCAAAATCATCCCAAGGCCTCACAGGCCCATCAGATGTCAAACGGCGACAAGGCAAACATCAGTGAGGCAACCGAGGTTTTGAACGATTCTGCCATCTTTTTGGCGACCTTGAGGCTCCGAGCCTACTGGGAGCTATCTTCTTGCGGTGTTTGGGGATTCTTGTAGGCATTTTGGAAATCATCCTGAGCCATCTTGAGCTATCCCGTGCCAT